GTGCTTCTGAAAGATGACAGACCTGCCAACCCTGTTGAGTGCGGTGATTTGACACTCATGGGGTTGCCATGAGTCCGAATCAACTGCACGATGGCTGCTTTTTGGTTAACCTTTTTCCATAGGCTTCATCATATTTCAAGTGACCACCATGTTTTTAGGATGTAAAGCACAATATTCACAATCCAGCCTCCCCTTCCTACAAGAACAAAAACCTGGTTGTCCACCCAGTCTCACTCCAGGCCACCTGCATGACAACACAGGGCACTGCTCACCCTCTACTTTCTTGAAGGACCATTCTACAAACTCTTCCCTATGGATGTCCTTAAAATCCTTTGACCCATTAATTCTTGAGAACATTTAAAGTCTCAGATTGAAAGTTACACACTTGAATACATCTCCAGAATCTCTGCATTATTTCACAACTTTTAATATTGACTAGACTCTGAATTTCTTCACTGCATATGCTAATAAAATACAATTATGTACATATTTACATAATAACTCCATATGATTTCCTTTATTATTGCTATTATTGTTTACTATTCATTATCGGACAAGAATTTCTGTCTTGTACATACACCATTGTGCAATGAGACTGGCCTGTAATTGGCCTAAGATTCTGTCAGTGCTTACTACACCAACAACAGAACTCAGAGAAACAAAGACAATTTATATGTTTTCAGACAAGATGAGGGAATTAGGTTTTCCTTCCAGTGCACACACAGCAGAGCCTGGAGTCATGCTTCATCAGAAGGAAGGGACTGATAGTTGGAAACACACAGTGATTGTGACATAAATATTCATCAGCCACTGACTGGGTCATGAAAAAGAGTAAAGCAAGCTTGAAAGATGAGGGAGAGGGTGTAAAAGACACAAAGGTGCTCACCAGGACAAGGATGGTTTGGGTGGCTCTAGTCTCAGGGGAGGATCTAGGGGAGACGTTGTTCCTATGAAGGTGTTGGACCCTCTGCTTGTGTCTGTGCAGGATGAAAACCTTGGAGCCACTGGCACAAAGACACAACATCAGGGACTGCCAACAAGGCTGCACGCAGTAAGTCTGCAGATTTGTCACGATGAACAGAGGAACAGCATCCATAGCCTTTCTTCTTTGCGATGGTTTCATTGCTCCAATTGCTAGTCACAAAAATAGGAAATAGGATATTTACCAGCATGTGTAGGATCCAGCACAGGAAAACGGAGGAGCCAACCTACCTGGGAGCTTTCACCTTCAGCTCCGCCCACCTGGATTTCCTAGGGCTGACCGGGACGGCCTGGAAGATACTCAAGAGGCAGGTGCTGCCCATGGACACACCCCTGGCCGCTCTGTGAGCACAGAAAGCAAGTCTGCGTTCAAAGTCATCGAGGAAATCTTTCCACCCAAAAGCTACCATGGTCTCTGGGATTCCTCTAAAAAGAATGGCCAAGGAGTTGGCTATAGTCAGGTGTCTGAGAATCAAATGTGAGGGCCTTGATCTTCATGCACTCAGATATAGGAAGGTAGAGTGAACTAAGAGTGAAGTATTTCCCAGGATTCCAATGCCTATCTCGAACAGGAAGACGATCCCAGTTTTCAATAGCATGGAGGCCATTCTGTTCTCTTCCAGGGCTCAGTATCCATATCCACAAATGGATGATTCCGTGTGGAGACATACAGAATAAGTGGACTCCTTATTCATGGAAGTTGAAATCCCAACGTCTCTACACACCATTTTTTTTTGTCTGTTTATGTTTTATTGTTGTTGTTTATTCCAAATGAACTCATCTACTAGAAGCAAATGAGAATTCGAAATAGTTCTATAGGGCCACCTGGATAATAGTTTGAGAAGTCAGTAATTTTCAATTGAGTGGAAACAATGTTTCAAAATAGGAAATTAGCCTGAAGGTTGGAAAGAGTGTATTGAAAGCGAATGCCAATGTCATTGTGAGCCTTTTATATCTAATACCCAAGAGACACCACTGAATTTTCAACGACAGTCCAGAATTACCTAAGAGTTTGTCTATGATTTCCTTTCTGAGTCCAATACCTGCTTTACTTAACTTAAAACAAGCAGGTTCTACTAGCTTGAGTTTGACCTATTAATCTAGCTTCAGATTTTATTCTTGGAAAAAAAGCCAGTCTAGAAAGAGCATCTAGGACTGTCTGCTGCCATCCTAGGGATACTGACCTCAGCACCGCGCCTATGACATGCTTTGTTGTTTGTTGTTATGTGCTGTCGAGTAGCCCCAACTCATAGTGACCCCTCCTTGGTTTTCCGAGGCACGTGCAGGGATCCCTAATGTACTTTGCAAAGAAAATCATGCAAAGAGGAGAGCTCTTTAGAGCCGGGGGAGATGAGGGAAAAACAGGTCATCTGGTGAGGACGCTTAAGGCAATCTACTGTGTATAGAGCTTCCGCCGTCTCACCTATGGATTCTTCAGGAAAGTCTACGTTGCTCATGGGGCTGTTCAATGAATAAGCCTGAGCAACGTGAGCATACAAGCAGGGGCGGTGGATGGATTTCCTTTCTGCACCTTTGGACGGCATCCCTGACCGTCCCACGGCCTCCCAGGCACTTTGGTTTCAGGAACAATCTCCTTTCAGGAGTAAACACTCATTTTCAGACACTATAAAGTCCTGCCTGACATAAACAAAACTTGAATCTCATATCTAATTTCAACCTTCTGCCTACTCCTTTCTTTCTTTTTCTTTTCCTCAATTCTTGGCCAATTCTTCTTCTTCTTCTTTTAAATTGTGTTTGGGGTGCACATTTACA